AATGAAACTGATAATGAAACGGACAATGACAGAGGTAATGAAGAATGTAACATTGGAAATTCCGAAGAGGAAGACAAAGATAGAAACAGAGCGAAGATAATTGAACTCCTGGAGGATAATAGCATTGAAGATAAACAATCCGAAGGTACTGAGAATGATGAAAATGATGATTTTTATGAATGTAATTAAATATTGATTAACAAATATGTATATTCAGTGTCCTCCAAAGAAACTAATCAAAACCGGTACACATGTGCCTATTAATGATGCGAATAAATCAATTCCTTCAATTGGTGATTGATGAGAGTAATATAATGTATCCTCACTGCCACTAGATTGTGGGATAGTATTGTTTGTAGATGAGACTTCTAGCATTACGTGCGTCACCACATAGAGAAAAGTACCACCACTGAACACAAGTAAATTGCCAACAACAAAATCATTTTGTAATTGAAATAAGGACATGAATATGAATGTTAATATTGAGCTTAATGGAGTTATAGATGCAAATATTAATAAATGAAATTTTAGAACCGAAGTATTCATTTTTTCTTTCATCAATAACGTCGAAAGACTAAAGCAAGTAGGCAATTTATGAATAATAATCATAGTAAAAAGTATGAATCCAATTGAGCTCTCTTCATGGGATTTACTAAACGATGAACCTAGTGATATTCCATCAACCATTGCGTGAAAAATAAGTCCCAATGTTAATGACGATGTAAATATGGATGTAAATAATTCTCTATATGATTCACCGTAATGAATTTCATTAATAGACTTCAATTCAATGTTGAAGGAATGTAAGATAACATATAAATGGTCAATAATGTACATAATAAGAAAACCCGATACTAATCCTAAACCGATATATCTAGGAATTAATTCATTGCTCGTATCACCTATCGATTGGTATAATGTTTCAATTCCTTCGGGAATAGCAATAACTAACGCAGTTCCCAATATTATCCCCATACTGAAAAATGAGGTTAAATTTATTTGTTTTTGCGATAAAGGAAGCCTTAACGGTATCAAACCCACAGAATATGAGGTCAATCCCATTATTAGAGCTAGAACCACTGTCTCCAGTGCTCTCTTAAGCCCATCATTCATAATTATTTAAATGTGGTCTATATTAAAGGAGAAATATTCTTCTAGATAAGATAAAATAAAAGTTACGCGTTGTTTTAAAAATTTATTCATATACTTCACCAGCTGTAAAATCTACATACTAGATGGAATACAAATTAAAGTATAGATGCCGTTGAATCAGGAGACGATAAATGATAAGTTAAATCTAGCCATATTATATTTTAAATCTTCAGATTATCAAAAAGCATTAAATTTATATAATCAATTAATTCTCAAGTGTCAAAGCTATTCGATTGATGAACTCAAACTGATCAGGGTTAATATATATAATTTGAACGAAACTCCTCCCGTTGGCTCTATAGTACATCCAAAACTAGGGTCTCTATTGGATCAGAGAGCTGCAACGTATGAAAAATTAGGCCAATTGGACAAATCTTTAAAAGATGGAGAAAAGTTGATTAAACATGAACCAATAAGCTGCAAAGGCTATTTGCGGGTCGCAAAGGTCTTATTGATTATGAAGGAGGAAGTTGACGCCTATAAGACCTTACAAAGAGGTAACTATATTATTTGTAATGCTATTGAAAAATACAATATTGCAGTTCCAGAGAAATTATTCAACAGTTTGAAAAGTCAATATAAGACGTTGAACACAAGACTCAAACAACAGAAGGAGCAATATAATAATAAGAATATTATAAATAAGGGTCTAGACAAAAGCTTGGAACAAATGTTACCGCTCAAAAGAACAAAATCAGTGTCAAGTACATCGTTAAAGAAGTCGAAAAAGATCCTAGACCCATTTAATTATTTACCACTAGAAATAATAGAGTTGATATTTCAAGCATTTAATCTCAAGGATGTTCTTCGGTGCCATTTAGTGTCATCAAAATGGTATAACTTGTTGGTGAGCATACCATCATTATACACGAGTAAAATTTCATTCAAGCCAAAAATCACAGCTAATGAATTCATTAATGGGGTAAAGTTAATAAAAAAGGTTATCGACAAATCATATTCAAAACAAATCAAAATGTTGAAACTTAGGTCCACAGCAAACAATTTGCAACTATTCAAGATGATTGAACTATTAATATCCGAGAAACAGCTAAAATTACAAGGATTAGATGTCATTAATAAATACTTGAGTTTTGAATTTTTTATTAACAAATTATATAAAACAAATTGGAATGTTTCGAATATTAATAGCTTGCAATTTTTAAGGTTAGGCATCAGATCAAGCCTCAAGTGTGAAAATTTGATCTTTAAAATGATGACTCGTTTAAAAAGTTTAGAGGTTATTATAATAGATAATGAATCAAGCGGTGGTAGCATGTCCTTAATTCCCAACAATAGTAAATTCCATGATTTAATACGAATTGATGATAAACCATATGATACGCTTGAGTATCTTTCAATAATAAATCACCCGAAGCTTATGAGAGATAATAATCAGTCAAGGGTTGGAAATGATACTTATAACCCATATCCGCCATTCATATTAAAGAATTTCCCAAATCTAACGAGCCTATGTATTGTTTCGTATGATTTTACCAATAGGCAAACACAATTTCAAGATTTCTTATCCAGATCTACTAATCTTACAAGCCTCTACCTAGAGAATAACGAAAAAATATCAATCAAGAACTTTCTTCAAGATTTAATTGTTTGTGGTGCTACATTCAGACTTCGGAAATTAACCATCAGGGAGAAAGCAGTAAGTGGGGCAGTTCATCTAAATGAAATGAACGATGTATATATCCCTTCCTTGCATTACCTTACTTACCTTGATGTATATGCATCATCCTTATCTATAAAGGGCTTGTTTAAGTTATTGAAAATTGCCAACTTCAATAATGAATTGCATACTTTATTCATTGGAAATTCTAACTATCTATATTTCAAAAATGATAAAATATCTATTCATCATAATTTAAAAATATCTTTATATGATATCTTAAGTGTTGTCCCGAAGTTACGAAAACTATACCTAAATGAAATCGAACTAGACAATTCATCTATGAGATTTTTTCGCAATGACTTAGTTGATAATATAGGTTTAAAGAATATTAAATTGCAGGTTCTAGATATCAGTTTTTGCAAGCAGGTTGATGGAATTGGGTTGATGAATTTGTTTTCATTTAATTTGAAATCGTCTGATGACATTCAACTATTTAAATTACAAGAGTTGATAATTGACGGCATGGAATTTAATCAAGATACTTTGAAAATTTTAATTAAGAGGGGTTATGTTGAAAGGATTAAAAACGATCCACTCAAAAGTAAGTGGAAGCAGTATGGTTTGACTACTTTAGTTCCAGATTTATAGAGCAGCAATATCTTAGATGATTGCAAAATAAACGATGCGTGCGCGAAATGAAAAATCTACTTCCTAAAAAAAAAGTTAGAGATGAGCCAACATTTAGTACTAATATACAATAAGCATGGTGGTCACTAGAAGTAGATTGAATGCTAAGGCTGGAAATGGAACCACTCCAAAGAAGACGAAGTTTCTGAATAATGATGCAGATGTAAATGATATTGAGTATCATACGGCAGAAGAGGATGAGCCAAATCAATCGGCTGGTTCAGAAGACTCAGATTCAGACTCGAACTCAGATTCAGATGAAGCTCCAGAAGAAGAATCTACGTCAGGAATAAGAAATGAGATACTAGCAAAGCAAAAGGAAGACTTAAAATCGCAACAAGAATTGAAAAAACTTGAAAAGGAAAGAAGAAGACAACAGAATATATACAATCAACAGCAGCAGTTACTTAAGAAGAATAAGAAACAAGGAGATGAATTACCCGAATATTTACCAGAAGATATATTTGAATCAATATCCGATAACGAGGTAGGCGAGTCAGAGCCAGTAATACCATCAAAGCACTTAAAATTACAAGATTTTGAAAAGTTAGATGAGATGGAAATACGTAGGAAAATAAAAGAAGCAAAGTTAAAAGAACTCAAGAAAAGTAAAAAGCTTTCCATAAAGAAAGGTCCAGTGCATGTTAAGGTTCAACTGTTTAATTTAGACAAAAAAGTTGTTCCAAAGTTTGAAAATAAGGTTGTTAATACAAGAAATAAATGGCTTAAAAGAAAATCCCTAGGCAAAAAGTAAATAACATATATTTATATATTTAACTAATAAACTTCATTATCAGAATTTTTCTTGCTTGTAATATAACATCTCTGGATTCAAAAATTATTATATCTTTCTAAATAATGCTAAATAGCAAAATAGAGTAACACTTCTAGAGATAAAGGCGAAAGTCTACTGTCATATCTTTCGCCAAGTCGAGAACAATATCGAGGTATCAAAATAATAGCCAGTATCAATCGATTGTGGAGCATAATATTACACATTTCTTAAGCTCATCCTAGTCACGGTTCTTTACCAAATCATACAATCTCCCACTAATTATTTCTAGTTGCTCCGATTCTATCGTCCTTAGATTGCTCTTTAGTCGCTATTTCGCTGCTTGAATTATTGTGGATATTAGTATTCATTTGCTCTTGTAGTATAAAATCATTATGATTCTGATCATGCAGTTGTTGGAAATGATGCTGAGAATTTTGCTGATCTAATAAACTATCATCATATTCAAGAACATCCTCCGGTGTAAGCTTAATCGTAGTAGCTGGTCTTCTTAACATCTTCATTTGTTTAAATAGTAATAAACTCAATGTTATTAAATTATTTTTGCGATCTTGAAAACCGTTCCACAATTCACGAACTATTTATTTTTCTAAAACTGTACGACCCATCACTTACTAATACGTACTAACATTAAACCAAAGTCGAAATGACTATGCAATATTCAGTCGTTTTAATTGAACTAAATATACGGAGTTGGGTCAATAGCTAAGTGGTCAAGTATGTTTTTAAGAATGAATATTAGAAATTATGACTTCGTGGCCAAGTTGGCTAAGGCGTGAGACTGTTAATCTCAAGATCGTGAGTTCGACCCTCACCGAGGTCGTAATTTTTTTTTTTCTATCCAGTATGGTCCCCAAAACCTTTATACCTACAAGATACTACGAAGATATTATGTAACAATATTGTTTATTGTTTATTAGTTATGAATTAAAATTTATAAAATTATATACTACCTTGACCGTTAACACCATTCCTATTATTACAAGCATAAATAATGAAAATAAAAAATGAAAAATACACCAAATCTGAATTAACAACTCAATCGTCTAGATCCTTTAAACGTATCTTTAAGCAATATGGACACATCATGTGGTTACATCGATGACAATTAAACCTTGTTGGAATGCAAACAGCTACCTTACTATTATATTCGAATAAGCCAGGAACGGGCGAAACACTTGGTGAAGTACAGGATGAAGGAAAGGCAGATATAGCATGGGGTACTGGTTCCGAGTCGCCCAAGCGGTCTTTGAAGTTTTCATTAAGATCAGTCATGCTACTTGAACGACGCCTTACTGGCTCAAAGTAATTTACGTTAACTCTCTCTTCTGGAGTTCTCAAGTGTTTGGAGCCATTCAAATACTCATACTTTGAGTACGAAGGATCGCCTCCACTGTACAATATTTGACTGTAGTATTTCAACTTTTTGATAAAGATATCATCGTCCTTGTCATCCGCAATCTCCGTTTCCATGTTATCCTTGTATATAATCGACCCATAACTTTGTCCACATGAACAACAATACCACTGGCATATCTTATTAGCATTCTGACTATCTCCCATACCTATCTTGTTTCCGGTATTTGTATTTCCATTAAACGAGCTCACAGGATTACTTGGGTAACAATTCTGCATTAACTTCTACCACTTCTATATTTTCTTACCAAAAGTGAATACAATATATCCTTTCAAATCAAATGTGTGGGTTACCTCCGTCAATTATTCTATTACTATGACCCTTCACTACTTGTTATACTAACAGATAGAAGTTCTGAGTTGTATTAATTTTTTCTTAAATTGTCCTGGTGGTTCAAGAGAATAAATACCTTCAGATTCTAGATTGCTGATAGTCTAGACTTATAAATCCGGATGAAAAAAAAATTTAAAATTTGCTTCCGTAAAGCTTATTAAATATACAAATTTTGACCATTTCAAACTATCCTATTACATCCCCAGCCGTAATGGATCTACAACATACGTAGAATCCATCTACTCCTAAGGCAGCAATACATGGGATGCCAATACGCTAGGTAGTAAAACCAATAGAATCCCGTTTACATGGGCATCTGCAATGGAAAAAATCATACACCTGTCTTAAGTGGATGCATGAAAAGGCGAGACTCACGTATTGCTGCAACCTTTGCTGGAGTATGAACTAGGCAATTACAGCCCATTCTATTCGTGCTTTCCCTCCCAGGTGACTAGCTGACGTAGAATATACATTATTCTACAAGCAAAACGCAAACATAGATGCTGTCTAATAAATATTATAAACAAAGGGTCGTTTATTTACGAAATTCATGGGCCTCGTCTTGGGGAGAAACGAAGTCGATAACTGTAAAGTGTCTTTAACGTATTCGGATACTTTAATTTTTATAAAATGATACTACAAGGGGATGTTTGAGATAGGCGAATGTATGAGCATCGTAGCATATATTTCCCACGTTGGCATAAAGAAGATTTGCAAGAATGTTGCAATTCACTTTTTCTTCCGTGGTAAGGAAGTCGCATTTTGCATTTACGGCTGAGGTACCTTTTTTTCTACTTTTTTTTTCTGAATCATCATCACTCTATAATATTAATTCTACCGTATATCCTGACGCATTCCCCGGAGGGGGCCAAAATCAGTTGATTTTACCATATATTGCTCTAAGGACTTACTGTCAGAATTCTTTTAGTGTTGTCATTTTATTGTTGGAAGTACTTACACGGATAGTATTTAGCCCTTACAATTGACTTCGCTATATACGTCGTAAATATACGTTGCGAATTTATCATCATGTATTTGGTGAAGATAATTACTCGTAGGCCGTAAGTGTATAGCCCTTCATATTCGTTATTATACTATCGGAAAAACTTTCTTAATAACTGCTCGCTAAATTGACTAATTACAAAATGGTAATTGGTTAATTGCTTGTTCCGCAGGGGTTTCGGATCCTTAACCAGAGTCGCTCTTTAACTTTTCGGGTACATAAAATAGCTCGTTTGACTCAGGAACATCACCTACAAAAGGAAGTATTCTTCGCTTTAGACTAAGCGACATATACGTTCTACGTTGATCAGCCTGTATTCATATTCTTGTATTCTTTTATGTTACATCTTAATTTGAAAGTTACATTGGTCACTGGCTATATTGGAACCAGTTATATGCTCGCATATTGATTTATATCGATGGGAGTTCCATTTTTGGCATCGACTACTTTGCCGAAAAACTCCACCCCAATAAGCCCATTGGCATCGCCTGATGTTAAAATGACATTGTTGGAGCTTCTGTAAAAGACAATGCCACTCTGTAGGCACTTTTCTATATTTAAGTAAATGAGAACGTTGCTACTAGTTCGAATACCAGATATATCGCTTATACTTGAAGCAAAATGGATATGATTTCTGTTCATTTTGCTTAAGCCCCCACTATTGAATATGGCTGGTAGTTTATTTTTGTAGGTTCCATGATAAATTTCCTCTGGTATGGTGTCTTCTGAGAGTTGAATTAGATTCGAATCATTAACAGTCTTAATAGAATGGCCCTGGTTGGCACATATCATTATTTCTCCTTCTTTTTCGACAATAGAAAACCTCTTCTTATCGTTATTCTCGACAATTCTACGAATATCATCGAGTGTAACTTTATTAGTTTTGAGTCGGTTGTGATTTAACAATTCGTTTATATTTATATATCCAGTTGCATCAATATTTAGTTTCTCTTTTACAGCACCATGTCGTAAGAGGTATGATAGCGATTTAGATATAGCTATATCCCGCTTTGCGGGGGGTAATGATGCCATTGTACCGTAATGATTGTAAAAAAAAAATTGTGCTAAAATTTTGGGATGATTTTCAATCTCATAAATCACACTGACTCACTTCTATATTAATTGCATTATGTTGTATGCTACTGATTCTATCAACACAAATAACATATAATACTATTAAACTATTAACACGGAATACTTACGTTATTATCAAACATATTAATTTATAATCTTCAGGATTGAATTAACCATAAAATCGAAAATTATTCGTCCTCTGATTCACTTACAACTGTAATATGCTACATATGAAGCATAAAGTGTGTTAGTTGTATACTAAAACTTATATTTATTATTACCTCTATTCATATTAAATATTCGTTGTATCTTTATTTACATGAAAATGCTAATATCATTAGCCTCTTGCTTTTTTGTCTTTATACCACCTTCAAATTCAAGCAATACAAAATTTGACCAGCTTAACATCATACGTAGATTATTCTATACTAATCATATCACTTCTTGATGTCACTGCACTTTTTGACCCTAGCACCTGCTAACGAACCCATTTCCGCTTTAGATTGTTTGATTGTTTCATTATCTCCTAATTCGGTACGTTCATGGAAATTCAAAAAGTACTTATCACCTTCCTGCTTTTCACCCTGGACGATGTTTTTAATCAAAAACTGACTAACCTCGTTCATTTTATTTACGGCTTCTTGTTGTTGCTCTTGATCGGCTAAGTCTTTATTGTCAATAAATCCCTGTTTAATTTGGGTTCTAGCTGCCATTAAAACCGGTAAATCCGTTTTAAATGCTACTCTAGTAGCTCTGAGAGCATTTCTATATGCCCCTAAGGCTCGTATGTTACTCATGACTATCTTAATAATTCGCCTATTATGAATGGACAATTATCACCAGAATTTTTGTCTTGAATTTCTCATCGCGGAAGTCACACCAAAATCTTTATTTTAGATAATTTAAAAATCACTATAAATGGTCATCTTTACATTTATTTACTACGTATAATGTTACAATTTCCGATAAATATATATATTTGATATGCTAATCTATAAGATCAATTTTTCAATGGAATAATTAGGAATTCTCTTAGAAATCTCAATCCCTTCATCTTTTAATTTCTTACCAGCATTATTCTGTATGGATAAGATGGAATTCAATTGTTGCTGCTGGATCTCGTTATTCAGCTCGATGATGTTATTGCTCTTATCGGTTGGCTTTTTACCTGCTTTCTTATTTTTGTTTAATTTTCTGATAGGCTCGTTAATTAAGATGGCTTGGTTTGTAAGAGTCAAGTTATAGTTATTTGCCATTATTGATGTTAATTTGTCTTCAATTATCTCGATCAAATTATTTACAGTATTCATTGACCAGTTAAACAAACCACCAACGTCGATAATAGATTGAATTAAGTACCAACTTTGGTTATTATTGAGCTTAATCAAATGATTCAAGATGGTCTCTAAATTAAGATTATTTTGCTTTGATTGTAAAATGTCATTTAATTGATGAGTTATTTGATTCACTGAAAACTCACTAATTAATCTAGTTATAACATCTTGGAAGATATCTAAATTGTCATTGTTTAACTGTAACGAGATTTCATCAATTGACAAATTAGGACATGTTATTATTGCTTGTCTCAATAACCTAGGTTTGTCAAGTTGGGTAAATAACGTTAATAACCCTTTCGTATGCTCGTATGGAAATAATGGATGAGTTAAAAGATAAATTAAGGTATACTCGGGAATAAAATCTAATTGTTCATCAAATATCAAGGATAAGACCTTACTTATAAAGGCAGGATCAATAATTCTATCTTTTTCTACTTCAAAAACGGAAAACTCATGCGTTGGTGTACTTTTTCCGAAAGACTTTTTGATAGAAATCCAACTTTCATTTTTCAAGTATGGAACAACAATCAGTTCCCACTTATTAATGTTCTTTTTCGTTTTTAACTTAACTAATTCATCATAGATCTCTTTTAATTCTTTAGATACTTTTGTGGATTCTTTGTCGAATGAATCATTAATGACATTGGTTAAACCTTTAAAATCATCATTGGTTTTCTTAACGATGCTTTTACCCAAGCATTCACTAAGTGTATTTATTCCAGTATTAACATTGATGATATTCAAGCTGGTATTCTTTTTACGAGCATTATAATGTAAGTAAACGGCAAATGTAGAACTAGTATTCGCTGAACTTCCTTTAACATCAACCACCTGTTTAATATAAATTTTGTCGGCTCTGGTATAAGTATCCAATAAACTTTGAAATTTGAAGTTAATTAAATACAACTTGCTTTTCCAAGATAATAATAATCTGTCAACACTTGGACAGATGATAGAATAATCATTGATAGTTTTGGTAGGAGCGTCAATAATAGAGTCAACCTTTATTGACTTCAAAACTTTAAAGTCGATGATTGAGCGTGAGCTGATATCTAACTTATCAGTATTAAACTCATATAAAATCCCTGATTGATAGGTGAAAATACATTGACATTCTGCAAAATGAGAAAACTGGTTGATCTCAAAGGATTTTTCATAATCCAAGGAGGTTAATTTATAAACAAGACTTCTTTCATTGGATTCAATAGTTAATAATAAATCATTATTGTATTTGAATTCATGGTTTGAAATAAACTTGTGGTAGACCAACTCATTACCGGATTTGAGCTTTAAATCCAATGATACATCTTCAAAATTATCTTCGTTGATCTTCAATAATTTGATTCCGCCATTACTCAAAATAGCGTAGACAAATTTACCACATTGTGAAAACTTAACACCCTTAACCTTTGAATCTAACTTGATTTCAAAATGGTCTGCAGAGTCGTTATGTCTCCTAATTATCAAAACCTTATTAGTCTTACGCTCGGTAGTACCAACCACGTAGTTTTTTATGAAACCAGTTCCATTACTATCTGTTTCTTGAACATCCATGCATTCCACAATGGTGGATGGTGATAATGGAAATGACCATACTAATTTTGGTGTTGGTTTTAATATGTAACTGGAGATGATTGATTTTGATATACCGATATCAATATGGGTAGTATTGATCGAAGATATAGTTGGAATCACAACTTGGTGAGACAAGTCGAGATCAGCTATCCGTGGTAACGATACCAATGAGTACAGATCTGATAATGATGGGGCCATGGTTTAGTATCAAGATTCTGATTCTGGTTATTCTTCTTCCCATCGCTTTTAATGGTTCCATAAATTTTTTCTGAAGGTCATTGCTTATGTAATCGACCATAATCTTTTTTTTCAATATGATCTGGGATCATATCTTTAAACTAGAACTAGATATGATTCACTTGGGCAACGATTGTAATAAGCGGACATGTGGTAATTAATATGATTGGTATAGATAAAATTATTGCATTATTATTTTTACCGATAGTGATAAAATGTACAGAATTATATGTAGTTGACCCTCGTGCTATATTTGACTCTAATTCTCGTACAGCTCTATATTCCCTGGTGCAGACGTATACGTGGGAGAATACACGATTGACAGTACTAGTATTGACTATTATGTCAATATATTTGAACCTGACGAAGAGCGTCACAGCAAGTGAAGTATGGCGTGGAAGCATTAGTTGAAAAGTATAATGTAACCCCTCTTGTGATGACGTACCATTATAAAAATAAGCATCTTAGACGGAAGATTGGGTGTTCTGAAAGGCACTTAAAGCACGTCCATGGTAATTTTAAGGTGTGTGTGTTGAAGTACGGAGACAAGACAGTCAGCAGACCTCTAATCGAAATGGCCTCGGGCATAGGAGGCAATATCATCAGTACCTTTCTAACAAATATATTACAGAATAAAGGTAAGAGCGGCGAATGCATTGAAGAGATTTATAATATTACCATGGGTAAGTCGTGGGAGAAGAACGGTGCAACAATAAGCATAGCTACTTGTGCTACGAAAAACGAAAAATACAGCATCGAAGCAGCAAGCGAACAGATAAAACAGGCAGCGGCATGGATGGATAGAACAATAGATAAACATCCTTATGGAAGAACTTATGAAATGAATTTCTCGAATAACGGAATGTGGAACTTATGCTTGAAGCTAATGAGGAATGATATGTTCGATGAAGGGTCTGATACGCGCACGTTGGTTCAAGATTTGGAGTCTCCTAAAGGGCACTACGATGATGAGATATCACCACACGATGAATTGTAATCTATATCTACGAAAAACATAAATATAGAATGAGACAAGAACCAAACATGAGCGAGGAAAATGGACGTAAGGTATTGTTTACCTCAGATTGTAGTTCATTGTCTGATGTCGAAGATTAGTCTACAGCTGTAAAATAAATGTAATCTAATGTACATTAAGTAAATGATTCTAGTATAACTCTAGTATTAACTCTATAAAATAATGATGTGAAAATGTTTAAAACATGATATGACAATTGAAAGCAAACTTAAAATAAATAACCCACTAAAAAATTAACCCTGAAAATGATTAGACGGATTGCAAGAATTCGTCGTTAGCGTAATGGTAGTCATCGACGATAACCTTGAATTCATCGGTTTCCTTGTTGTAGGAGTCGATTCTGAATGAGGTCAAGTCGTCAACAACAATATCAGCACCGGCCTTTCTGACCTTTTCTGGGTCGTAGGTGGAACAGATACCAACAATGAAAGCACCAGCACCCTTACCAGCAGTGATACCAGCAGGAGCATCTTCGAAGACAACAACCTTGTTGTGAGCACCCTTGTAACCTAAGGTCTCTCTAGCAGATTGGTATCCTTGTGGATGTGGCTTACCCTTGGTGACCCTTTCAGCGGTGATGAAACAGTCTGGCTTTTCGATGGTCAACAACTTCAACCATTTAGTGGCCAATGGCAAAGTACCAGATGTCACAATAGCCCATCTTTGTTCACCATTTTCAGTTTCGTTCTTGGAGTATTTGTCAAAAGACTTGACTAAGTCAACTGCTCCAGGAATTGGCTTAGCGAATTGTCCGAAAGAGTCTGGAATAGATCCTTCCCATTCGGTGACTTGTTCTTCAATAGCATCTTCTGGTGACCATTTTGCAATCACATCGAATGTACGACATCCATGCGAGGTCTTAATGATTTCTTCTGGGTTGACGTGAGGTCTAGTCTTTCCGAAATCTCTCCAGAATTCTGAAATAGCTCCAGTAGAGTTAACTAATGTTCCGTCACAGTCGAATAAAGCAGCGTTAACGTAGAAGACAGCTGGTTGTTTTTGAATTGTCATTGTAATTTGTGTTATTTATGTTTGTATTAATGAAAGTATTGAATACTGTATAATTATATAAATTATTTATCCATTACAAGGGGATTACCACGGTATTTATATTCATCAATTATTTCCTTCAACAAAAGAAATGTCTAGCTATCTGAATGTACTACTCTAGCGTACGATTTTTTTTTTTTTGTTATCATCATCTGATTACGTAAATTTAGTTTCTTGTAAATTCTATTACGTAACGACGCTTATTGATGCGCTATATACGCTTGATTCCGGTATGTTACCATATAATACCCTCTAAAGGTGTATAGTTATGTTCCGGTGGCATTGTGGCCAACAGAAATAAAAGGCCTATTACGTAATTGATCGGGACCAAATTGACCAAAACAGGTAATTCACATTTGGTTTTGTAATTTTATTTCTTTTGGAAATTGTTCCATTTATTTCTTTTTGTGGTTTAAAACCGCTTACAACGGTTAGCACGAGATGGCCACGAGTATACCCAAGAAACTCGGTATCAGAATGAAGGTCGGAAAAACGATAGCATCACCGGTGTCAAAATTAGGTTTAATTTTCTTGGACCTCTTGGATCTGTGGAACTACAACGGATTTGTGATGGATCTGTAGTTGTCTAGAGGTAGGAGTTACTACACTAGAACATATACGTAAGGTAGTAAGGACGCATACGACGACAATAATTCTGGATCTATTGTGGGCACAGTGTTGGTACAGTACTGGCCCAATGGGAACGTGTGAAATGTCCTATGATTCTTAAAGATCATGATACGGGCCCAAAGGAGGAATAAAATACTCTTGAACACGAAACAGCTACGTCAATATGACGTAGTCAGACGAACGAGAGTGAGGGAATTCTAGTGGTGACGTCATGCCGGTTTTAATAGCCTGTATATAGATGACGTTGTTGTTGGAGGGGGTCGGATGCTAGGAGCCGGAATAACTGGTTTCGGTCTCGGGCTGCGAACCAGACAAACTTTGATCTACGACGGTGCTAGGGGATTAGGTGGTTCACGCCATATTGAGAGTACCTGTTGACGAGAACCAGGCATATAAGCACTAATCGGAATATGGTGCGGGAAGGAACGGACGTAAAGGGATACTTGAAGGACAGAATACACGAGTATTTTCAGGAGATATTCGTAGACGACAATGTACGGTGTAGATGTAGAACAATAGTAGAAAGGCTACAATAGATAATTATAAAAGGACAATTGTAGATTGTTGCACATGATGGAGAGGACAAAGGGATCGGTGGTGGAGTTAGAGGTTGAAATATAGATTGTATCCAATAGACAAAGCATTAGGAAACAGCATGTGGGAAAACGACGATTGAGCGCTGTGGTAAGAGATCTAGAATTTTATTCACAAGCTGCCATGTACTGAAGGTTTCTGGAAGTGTTGGACGAAACGAGTCTTTCGTTAAGTCCGAGATATTAGTATTCCGTAATTTTGATAATATTGGGTAGGATCAAAAATATTCGCAGCCACTAGGAAAAATATTGAGTTATTCTACTAAAATTCGTAAATTGAACAATTGTAAAAACTAGACATACTAAATAATTTGATCAATATAGAGCAAGAATACTCGTTATGGGTAAAGCTTCGAGCCGAAAACCTACTGGAGATTTATTAATTTCATTATATCAATCAACTGCTCTTCCGAGTAACGCAATCCAACAAGTCCCAAGTTAACAGGAGCATTCTCAAAGCTTTCAGGAGAGTCATACTGTTTATAAACAAATTCATCCATTTCGTTTTTGGGTTTGTAATCTTTTACTGGGATATCTTTCTTCAAATCCACTTTAGTAACTGGAAAAACTAATACTGGATAGTCCAATAAATTCCATTGCGCAGTATAACCCCAATACTTAGTACTTCTGTGTTTTGCAGCAGGTCCCGGAAAAACAGGAGCAATTAAAGCATCCATAGGGGTATTGCCATCAGGATTATTGAACAGTAACCAATGTTTCAAATAATCTTTCCTATATTTTTGTTTTTCTAAATTCCACTTCCAGATATCCTCAGCTTTCAATGTCTTTACAGAGTCCTTTCCTAGAATCCATTCTGTTTGAGGGCACATTGGCTCGCCAGTACTTTTCAATGTCTTTCTAGTATCTTCACCTCCATCTTCAAAGTACAATGTTGAAATAATCTCCCAAGCTTTCAGATGATTCAAGGGTTCAAATTCAAAAATTTCTACATTATCCATGCATTTCAACTTCTCACACATCATATCAAGAGCTCTTGTAATTGGAGGGTGAGGTGTAACTACTCCATCCGTTTTGAGAATACCAATACGATAAGTCTTTTTTCTTACGTTACTCTTCCATTCGATTGAAGTCAAACTGGGATCTACAGTCCATGGCTTTTCTTGCACCACTGTTTTCATGAGCAACTCTAACGTATCCAAAGACCTGGTTAATGGTCCAGTTACCGATATGATTGATTCAGACCCCATTTGACAAGAAAAGAAATCACTGGATGGTATTCTGCCAAGTGTTGTCCTCATACCATAGATACCATTAAATGCTGAAGGACATCGAATTGAGCCTCCAATATCAGAGCCTAAGCCAATAGGTGATGCATGAATACCATTAATTGCACCCTCTCCTCCGGATGAACCACCGCAAGTAAGATCACTATTAAATGGATTGACTGTTCTACCATGGGTAAAGGACTCACACTCAAGCATCATCAAAGATTGTGGGTTTGTAGACCTAACAAAGGGGACGGCCCCATTTTTAATTAAAATGTTGACAATGTCAGCATTATAGTCGACGACCCGATCAAGATAACAAAGCGATCCATGGGTTACTGAATGGCCGGTCAATGGGATCATTTCTTTGAGAGAAATTGGTAATCCAAACATAGGACTATGGTTTACCAATTTACCTTTATTTTCATCTAAATATCTAGCTTTCTTCAATGCTTCGTCAGGAAGAAATTCATAAACACAATTGGTAACTTTAGAAGCTATTAAGGCTGCATGTAGATAGCTCGTTAAAACGTCAACACATGTGTATTTTCCGTCTTTGATGTCCTGAACCAATACAACGGGATCAGCTTCGGTAATTTGTGCATCTTTCTTTGGTAACGCTTCGTAGTATTTCTCAACTGGGAATTTGGCAGGATTTCCAAAATCAGTTACGGATTTTCCAATTGCACTTGGAAGCTTATTAAATGCATCTAAATCTGCATCATTGTCGAATGGAAACAATTCCAAAGTTCTACTTTGGGAATCGTTAAAAATCAGCTTTGCCTGCAAAGCTAAGGTTTTCCAATCTGTGGTCAACATTGTGAAATATTCAATAGTGTGTACCAGGACTTCAAATGGGTATGGCTTTGGTCCATTTATATAGTCATCTTATTTAAACCATTCGGTTAACGAACTAGGAAGGAGAATAAAAGCGGGTACAGACTAACTTGGATGTGGAGAACACCTTTTTATAATCGCAAAGTCTATTTTACATAGGATTATCCTTTTATTGGGGGGTCTTCTTCAGTAACAAGGTCCGCTCCAAATTTGGTTACTATGATTGCTACTTCTACGTTATCATCCTCGAAATATTGGGCTAGCTTCTATGATTTAGCATGGGTTAGGAGTGCATAAAGATATTTATAAAGCCAAAACCAAGTAGCAAAGCGCATTAGTCAGTTGTTAATAGGAATTTGAGGCCAAGTAAAGCAATTGAAGAAGTTAAGCTTCAGCAGAAATGACTATTGATGCAAAATTTTAATAGAAGATACCACTCTAGGTTTTATCCTACATATTACCTTCGTATCATAATGTTGGGAAGATTTCTTATCATTATTTCCTTATTCTCATAAAGTCTACTACCCAAGACTTTTCCACAGTCATCTCTGTCTTATTTATATTTCATTTTTTCAATCTTGTAAAACACCACTATACAAATTCATTGCGATTTTATTTACTTACTCTTTGAATTAGTTTTGTTCATCTTATCACCTACAGCATGTAATAGAACGAATATTTGAATGTGGTATTATGAGATGTAGAAGCAAGCCACCAACGTTTTGGAAATAAGGGAGAAAGGGAACACTTGGTAGGCCCGACAATATTATGATTCCGTAATTTTGATGATAATGGCTAAAACTAATATTATTACTCGCAGCCACAAATAAAAATAATGAGTTGCTGCATTGTCAAAACTAGACTTTTTTAAATAACCTTGACCAGTATGTTTGTAATGGGCAAAACTTTGTGTAAAACTGTAACGGAGGTCTATACATGTTTCCTCCAACTTCATAAATGATGATGGTTTGTAGAGGTATTCGCTGAATTGAAAACTAGCGTGCATGTGGTGGAACAGAATTACATAGCGCATCTCTCGATATCTACCGATCTACATTACTTTGAACACTTAAAACGTAGTAGAATTATGTATATAAAATGTTTTCCCCATTTCTTTTTTCTTTATAAAACTTAAATTGATGAACTCAAACCAAGAGTTATTTATAAAATACAATATAAAATATAAACAAAAAAGACAATGATGATTAAAGCTTATTCATTATTATTTTTTCCCAACTCAAATAGATTAAATGATTTAGATGTAACCAATTCTGTTAGCAATATCTAAAGCATCGTGGTCAGCAGTTAATCTGATGTAAGCCTTCTTGGTACCGTTTGGTCTGACTAAGGTGTTAACGTATTCGACATCAACATCGTATAATTCCTTGACAGCGGACTTGATTTGGTGCTTGTTAGACTTTAAGTCAACTTGGAAAACTAAGATGTTACCGTCTTCAACCTTCTTCATAGCGGTTTCAGAGGCGATTGGAGAAACAATGATCTTGTAAGCATCCAATCTGTTGTAGTGTGGGACAGACTTTCTAGAGTATTTTGGAGATCTAGATAATTTTAAAGTCTTTGGTCTGTGGAAAGAAGTGTCGGTTCTAACCTTCAAAGATTTTTTAGCATTAGTACCCTTTAAAGCAGCTTTCTTAGCAGCGGAAGGCTTAGATTGAGCTATCATTTGTTAGTATTTTGTCGAAACTATGTATTCGAGCTTCATATAGTGATCCTATTTCAAGACTAAACGGCCTTCGAGTCAACTTCATTTACTTGGTTCTCTCATCCTGTCACATTTACGTTTATCGACTGCTACCGAAGGTATGTTCAATACCGCCTATCCTCTATCATTTCTATGCTCAACTTTGGATTCTTCTACTCTTTCTTGCTTTTGATGATTGTCTCGTACCCATTACTATTTTTCACTAATATTTGTTCATACATTCTCTTACATCCATGGCTTTCTATTCTCTCATCGATCACTATACTCTACTCCTCTTATCATGTTATTCTTATAGTTACTTACAGATTGGAGACATTTTTAATTAATCCTAAGTTAGTCCTTAATACTTTGTAAAAAGCTTCAACTTATGAATTTTTTCAACTAAGGAATTGAAATTTTTGTCTAAATTTTCACGCTATATGAAGAAAGTGGCACAAAAGTGGAATTTCATTTTTATCCTCACAAAATTTTTCACTTATGGAATAGCAATCAGGTGCTGCGATATTATTATTAGGGCTATTACCCTATGACTACGAGGTACATGGTGTATGGGTGTTGGTAAATGATGATGTAGGTGTTCGGATTCGCTATACATATACACTAACGGGTGCAGTTAATGAGGATTTAAGGAAGATTACTTGAATGTGAAATATCTAGTCAGACTGTACAAAAGTAGAAAATCATGCTGGTCCATATTAAATTGGATAATTGTAGAAATGAAGGTAACTGGAGATTGGATTACAGCAGACGACCCAGAGAGAGATCGATGCCAATTTTTACGGCTACATGGACTTCAATGATACTATTTTCATTATTATGTGGCTAATTATATACAAAGACCATCGGATTGACCGATATAGTGAAATACTTCTTACAAACGACGTAATTTCTTAGGACGCGAACCACCGAACTGTAATTTGGTGTTGTCACTTATTCTAATGATGTTAGGCTTGACCTTCGACCCTTCCTTACCTTGTAACGCGGCCAAAAATGCTTCTCTGCCCTTTCCAAAATCCTTCAAAATCAATTCAATCTTGTCGTTTGGTCCGAGCAAGTTTCTTTCTTCGATCAACTTGAACATTCTGGCACTAACCTGGTATCCGGCTTCGTATTCAGATCTTTGGGCCTTTCTGAATCCTAGTTGACCCGCGGAAACGTGGACCTTGGTATGGTGTGGCAATTGTAAGTAGTATAACACCTTGTCGTTGTAAGTCAAGTGGTCGTTCTTTTCCATGAAGTCCTGGTCTTCCACCACGGCCACTAACGATAATAGAGTGTTGTGTCTGTGAAAAGACCCGTAGAGTTTCCATAAAACAACCTTTTCGTTATTACGTCCTTTGAATAACTGCTGTTTCATGTTTGGGTCTATGATATTGGTGATTTGATGCTCTTCATGCTTTTTGGAGCTCATCGATATTGGCTCCGATCTCAACGTATTGGTCGTCGATAACGACCTGAATGCGACCGCAGGCGCGAGCATCTTAGCTGCTGGTATCCTGCCAGCCAATTTAGTGCTTCTGGATATCATTATTAGCCCGTTTCCCCTAGATGTTTGCTTCGCTACTCCAGTTGGGTACTTTTCATAGAAACTTTTCACTCAAAAAGTCGCTGTTTTCCTTGGTTATGTAATCTCACGCTAATGATTATATAATATTCCTCCCGTCGTCCAGTTTCCAGTTTCTTCCTACCGTCTGCTGGTTCCGGCTCAATTCCATGCATACATACGTCTTCTACGCTCCAGATTGGCCCCATATGCCTGCTATTTGCTGGAGCGCAGAATTGTCCAATAGTCACGCTACAATTATTCTAAGCGATCGTGGTACAGACAAACCAGCCTAGTTGATGTTTACTCCTTCTACCCCATATTTACTCCATCAATATACGCTTCAACCACTTGGAAGCCACATCCTACTATCCACAAATTTTACCCGTAGTCTTGTAGGCGTCTAATTTGATTCCGTTTAATACAATATTTTATTTGAATTATGATTCCTGCACATAGTCCATAATCCCCCCTCCTCCTAAAACACGTCGCTTTAACAAGATACGTAAATTCAGTCTGTTATTACTGCTTAGCGTCAACATAGGATTAGTTAATCAATTCAATCTATTTGATAGAGGAAGAAGAATAACCATCAGGATACCCAAAATCATTTATCTGGCATATAGAAAGATCCAAGAAAATTAATACCTAACTGGAAGTAAACAACACAGGTAAAAAATAACACGCCCAGTACAGCCTACACACCAGTAGTTGAATTTACAATATCACCAAATAACGGCCCTTTGGACCTCGTCATATTGAAAAGCATAAATATAGTTGATAGGACGTAAAGCATTAAGCTTGATTATCGATATTGAGAATTCATTTAACCAGCTGTTGACCTGTCATTCACGCAATTGAGGTGTATGACTCAAGAGTAATAAAAGCAATAGAATAGCGATTTGACATAGTTTGAGCACATAAAGTCCAAAATGAATCAAGTTGGACTGACAAATAACACATTTAATGAATATGTGTTGGACCAAGTTGTAGAAAATATCACATTACATTCGGACAGAATGGTGGTTCGGGAGTATAAAAAAATTGGAGAGGGAGCATTCGGAACGGTTGTGGAGGCAGTTTTGAGGAAAGAGTACAAGAAAGATAGCGAGCAGGATAGAGAAGAACCATGGCTCGGGCCCTTTGCTATCAAGAGAGTGCCAGCGCAAACAGAATACAAAAGTAGAGAATTGGAAATATTGAGAGTAGTAAATCACCCAAATATAGTCAGTTTACGGTTCTTTTTTGATAAGAAGAGCTCTTCTGATGGTAAAATCTATCAGAATTTGGTGATGGAATGTTTACCATCCAATTTACAAAGTGAAATCAAATATTATAGACATTCAAAATATACCATACCATATCCGCACATGAAAACCTACACCTTCCAGTTGGCCAGAGCTATGCTTTACTTGCATGGTTTTGGAATTTCACATCGTGATATTAAGCCTTCAAATATTTTGGTAGACCCTGCAACAGTAACATTAAAAATATGTGATTTTGGAAGCGCCAAAAAATTAGAACCAAACCAACCGTCGGTTAGTTACATATGTTCTCGATATTATAGAGCACCTGAATTAATTATTGGATGTTCGATTTATACAACGAAGATTGATGTTTGGGGTTTAGGTTGCGTAATAGCAGAAATGTTTTTAGGTAAACCTATCTTCCAAGGTGAATCTCCTCAATCTCAATTGAAAGAGATTTCAAAGTTATTGGGCCCTCCATCGAAAACATTCTTCTTTAACAATAATCCAAAATATAGAGGAAACATGTACACAAATAAATTATTTTCGTGTACTGTTGAAGAAAGATTCAAGCAGATTTTCAGCAATTCTCCGCCTGATGCTATTGATTTATTGATGAAAATATTGGTTTATGAACCGGAAAAGAGAGCAAGCCCCAGAAGAGTATTATGCCATCCGTTTTTCTATGAATTAAAGAACGATGATTTCCAAGTCTATCCAAGAGGATCTTCTGAACCTATTAGATTGAATTTATTTAATTTCAGCAATTATGAACTTGAATTATTAGGCCCCTTGAAGGATGAATTATTATCTTCATAACGAAAGATTCAGAATTTAATTTTTGTGTATATTTATTACTGTTACGTGAACTCTCTAATGATCCAATTTTACTTCGATGAAGTGTATGCTGTCTTTTTTTTTTTTTTCATTACAAACTTATTCCTTATTAAGATTTTTATATTTATTTTGTTGATTACTGATTAACTTTATTGTCAGGCTGCACTTTCTGTCTGTTAGAATGAATTTGCTTGAATTTGTATTAGTCTAGATTAAATTTAAGTCTTATGCTACTTATATATTTTGAGTGAATGTACAATCTATAAAGCTAAACTATAACTATACTCGTCTTCAATGTTTTGAGATAACCATAATGAAATACAACTCAACATTATACAACCGTTACAGATTATATTAGAAACACCCATGCCTAACGTTGGAAATCCGTAATGCTTCAACAAGAATTTCAAGATAAAGACCATAAAAGAGCCTGCCAATCCACCTGCTAACAACGAAAACCCACAGAATAATATAACTCTTGCAACCCATGCGGTGTTATTTCCATTCGAACTTAAAAACGAATTATTTGAATCATTAAAGAGATTAGCTTTTTCAATTGAATTAACAATCAACATACCCAAAGTTGAGCAAATGAACGGAATCCAATCAACAAAAGTAATATGAACTATGGATGCATTAACGGTCTTTGAGTATATAGCAGCATCAATCATGGACCAAAATCCGATTGCGTATAAAGCTCCAGCTATATATACCCCAAACGATTTCAATTTAGCAGATTTTGGTAATCGTAACAGCGCTGCGTTGAATCTAAACAAATTAGTCTGTTGCTCCATAGTAATTGATATATATATTTGTGTGTTTATGGTAATTCCAATAGATACTTGTTTAAAGGATCCCTTGTCTAGTCATTTTCCTCAAATATAGGAAGTGGTTTTGTGTTACTTTGATAAATTGTATACAAATTTGAATGCTTTCTACTAATATCTCTTCTATTGACGATATGCTGTGTAAAGAATACATAATTAACTACTTTCTGGCGATTCTGGTAAACTGTTTGTCTCAGAGTTAATTTCAGTAGGTTTAAAATATTTCGGATTCATTTCCATTATATTTATAGTCCCATCTTTGCTGCATGATGCAATTATTCTTCCTTCATCATAAATATCGATGTCGAACACTGGTTCGTTAGAAGATTTGAACTGGTAAACTATCTTCTTGGATTGAACATCCCATATTAATAATCCAGACTTATCGGACCCAGAAATTATCAACGGATCTTTCGTTTTCGTTATAAATTTGGCACTACAGTTGTACACTTCACTTATAGGAACTTCGCCGCCTCCGATGCCCAAGTATGTCTTGATAACTTTATTGTTCATGTAGTCCCATAGTCTTAATACACCATCCAAACTTGAACTCAATATATATTTACCATTTGGTGAAAACGTAACGTTTGATATAGGAAGATTTACCACGTCAGTAGTGGATGCAGTTGCAGTTCCATGACTCGAACTATTATATGTCAAGGTTTTCAAACATTGTCCTGTCTCTAGATCAAACAACCTCATTAATCCATCATAGGATGCACTCGCTATCATTGTGCTATCCGGTGTTAATGCTAATGACAGTACTGGGTCTGAGTGAGCAGCCAATGTCTTCAAAGTTATTCCTGATATTATATCCCAAATGGTAATAGTTTCATCTGCAGATCCACTGATCAATATATTGCCTTTCAGACTAAACTTAACAGCTGTTACATGATACGTATGTTTCTTAAGTACTTTGAGGCATCGCGCCTTCTTGATTGACCAGAGTCTAATTGTAAGATCATCTGAGCAAGATGCTATAATATCAGAGTTAATCGGCGAGAACTCAAGGTCTGATATACCTTTCGTATGACCTATCAATTCAGTAAGTAATTCTCCATTGCTTAAATTGAATATTTTAACGGTCGTATCTGATGAACCTATAGCAAACTTGGTACCATTTGGTGATATTTTGATTGTATTTATAGATAGCGAAGCTTTATTATTTATTGAATATTTTCCTTTATACAAGTCATCCATTGATATAGTACATGCCCCCTCATCATTCTCTATTGACAATTTCTGTCTTTTTAAAGGTGATTCAGCCATATCATTATCTTTTTCACGTCAACAGTTCGTCTTCTACCTGATATTTCGAGTTTGTTTATCTAATTAAGTATACTGCATATAGATAATTATAATAAAGATTTGTAACACCTAATCCTACAGCTGTAAAGCACCAAACGTCGTATGAAGGTCATTGACCTTGTGTATAGTAAACACGATACATGAGGTGAATCATGCTTCCTTTAGTAAACAAAAAATTTACATCAAAATGGTCATTCAAAAGATTATGTGCTAAATTATCTAAATTTTGCAATTATCACGAAAAATCTAGATCATAAAAGTATATATACAGCTTTTCAAAAGTACATTAACCTGTCTATTTATATTATACACCTATTTATATACTTGATTACTCTAAGATGTTTTCTCATTCATTTTATCAATCCATGTTTCAAACAAACTGAATTCAATTTCGTCAAATTGGGTAAAAGATTTATTGTTTAATGTGGTCATAGTAGTCGTATCGGATATGGTCCTTAATGTGTTTAACTTGACATTCAAATTTGAAGGTATGATTAGTTTTTGCAACATAGAACGAGGATTGTTTTCCATTTGCTTTTCTGCTGGTAGCTTCAAGAGTTCCTTCAAAAAGTATTTCATATATTGACAAATTAAAAGCTTATTGTAAGGTGCATTAGTTGGCTCAGAATATTGAATGAAACTCATAAGATTTAGCATGTTATCATTAAGGGACACTAACGAATCGTATTGCTGTGTTGTCAAACTGTTTTTAGAGTCTAGCTTATGGAACACTTTATTCAATATTTTACGAAGTTCAGGCTCGGTGGTTTTCTTCAAATTTTCCTGCTTCGTATTTATTTTCGATAATGATTGATAGCTTAGCTTAGGTAAAGATGGATCGTGGTTAGTTTCTCGTCTATCCGAGGTTGGTGACAATGATGATTCTCTAGATGACTTCTGCGATGCTGTAGGACTAGGAGGGTATTGTATAGTCGGATTTTCGAAGGCCGAATCTTGTATCAGACTGATGTCAAAATGAATCGTTTTCTGTTCATTTAGTCCGGTTTCGTTCCATTTCTGTTGATTTTTCCTTATTTCTGTTGGCACATAATAGTTTTGTTGTACAATGACATGATTCTCCTGATCCCATCTTCGTTTATTTGTTATAAGCTTCTTTACTATCTTTTGTTGGTCATTGGCCGATAATGAAACGTTTGTTATAAATTTATGTTTTAGTAATTTAGTGGCTGAAAATCTTTCCTTGGGTCCAATTATAAAACACAGGCATAGAAAGTCTTTGAAAGAACCAGAGATTTCAAGGTCATCCAAGCCTATAAGCTCAGCAAAGTTGTTTTCATAATGACACCTCGAAATCTGTCTTAAGGCCTTCATTGGTGAGAAGTGATTCTGTAACGGAGGTTTTCCTGTAAATAATTCATAAACACAGCAACCCAAAGACCATATGTCTGCTTTATAACTATGTCCTCCATTATTGTTCAATATGACTTCTGGAGCCATCCAGTACGGCGTCCCGACAGTTGTATTTCTACGTGAAAAATTCGAAGACAATTGGGTTGAAACCCCAAAATCAGTTAATTTCACCTCCCCCGTCTGATTGAGCAAAATATTCTGCGACTTCAAATCCCGGTGTATTTTACCTTGGCTATGCAAATATTCTAGAGCAATGAGAATTTCCTTCGCAATTATCAGAATTACATTCTCATCAGTTACAGCCCCAGGTTTCAATAACTCAAATAATGATCCTCCGTTCACATATTCCATTATTACCCATAACTTGTAATGCTTAACAAAACAACCGTAGTACTGTGTAATCTGAGAGAGTCGACATTCTGATATTATCATAATTTCTTTATTAACTTCAAATAAATCCGTTTGTTCATTTTCCAAGTCTATCTGCTTGATAGCTACTTCTTCATTAGTTGCCTTTATCACTCCTCGATATACTACACCAAAACCACCTCTACCAACTTCTTCACACACTTGTAGCTCATCTGCAGACTGTATCCTTATTCCCATATCAAACGAGAATTAAAAGAACAGGTCTAATATAGAATGATCTCCCATGAGCTTCTAAAATGTAAACAAGACTATCGTTATGAGCGCGACATCACCGAATATCAAAAAAATGATTTTTGAAGAACTGTTGATGAAGTAACTTCTTAATACATCAGTTAAATGTATTCTATAAGCAAAATATGCTTAGGAGGTGTCCGGCAATCATATTTGCGAACAGGTCCATCAATATTCTCGAAATTTCGAAATATCTACAACATAAGGCTATTCTCCAATACTAGGCGATGTCAAGATGCCAATTCAGAAGCATTCAATGATGTACTATTAATGAAAGCTTTATCTACAAATAAACAACACAGCGAAAATGCATATATAAGATGTACAATATTTGACAGTAAAGGTGATATAGTAGTGCATGGAAAGGATATTAGACGACTGCAATTCATGAAGACGCATAATCTAGTTCCTAGAGACTTTCGGAAGATAACGAGACATTATCATGGTAGTAGTATGTCGTCGATGAATAACATAAATGTTGATATTGTGCCATCGATAGTCACTAGAGGAAATAGTATTTTACTAAATTTGTCCAACATAAAAGCATTGATTAAAAGTGACACTGTGGTGATATTCGACAGTCTTTCGAAGAATTCGGGATCAAGAATGAACGAATCACACTCTCATGGTTCGTTTCTCAAAGACATGAATGAGAAGTTGAAAACGAAAAATGAACAGGATGATTTGCCGTATGAATTCAGGGCCTTAGAGTGTATTTTAATTCACGTTATGTTGAATCTAACGACAGAGATGAATGTTCACAAGACTGTATTGCAAAATATTTTATCGAGATTAGAAGAATCTATAGAGAGAGTGAAGTTGCGTTATTTATTAATACAATCTAAGAAGATAGCACAGTTCCATCAAAAAACGAAATTAATCAGAGACTTACTCGATAATATACTCGAACAAAATGATGAATTAAATGCATTGTACCTTACTGAAATTTCCAAAGGGAAGCCTCGTTTACAAGCGAACCATGCAGAAGCAGAGATGTTATTGGAGTCATACTATAAAACTATTGATGAAATAGTACAAACTGTTGAAAATTTGAGATCCCAAATCAAAACCAGTGAGGAAATCATTAATATTGTTTTGGACTCTAACCGTAACGAGTTAATGTTGTTAGGATTGAAGTTTTCCACAGGATTATTATCGATGGGTTGTGCGTTATATATTGCTGCATTATATGGTATGAATCTCGAAAATTTTATCGAGGAAACTGACGGGGGATTTGAACTTGTCGTTGGTGGAGGATCTATCCTTTTATTAATTCTTTTGATGTTCAGTGTAAGACAGTTGAAGAAAGTGCAAAGAATCACTATGACCGGTATGGGTAGAGAAAATTCAAGGATCTCTGTTAACGATAATCAAAAGTAAATAGATGTACAGGACTAATGATTAATGATTTAATAATATTATACATGATGTTATATGCATTTATGTAGATACTTAAGCTTAGTCTTCGAATTCAATATCTATATTTGGGCCTAAAAAGCTGGCGCTAGAACTTCTTGTTCTGCTGGTATCATCAGCCATAGATTTTTCCCTTAATTTATTTATTTTTAACTCGCCCCCACCTGTCTCAAGGGAATTATGCGGTGTATGCCTAGGTGAATTAGAGGGTGAAGGATTAGGCGTAGGTCTAGTCCTAAATGGTCTCAAAGTAAAACTATCTCCTCCGTTTAAAGGATTAGTCGTCTTTGGAAGAGTGCTAACAATATTCTTGTTTGCCAGTGATTCCAGCTTTGGATGTTGTGCAATTTTTTTTACCTGGATGTTTAAGGCTTTCTTTTCATTCTCTTTTTTGAATATGTAGTTCTTTTCGTGTGCGATTAGACTGTTGAACAATTTCGACCTAACATCTATATCAAGCAAGTCCACTAATATAGAATTATATGCCTTCATAGGAGGTTTGAAGCCCGAAGAATGCTTAACAGGTGATGGCCTTAAAATTAAATGAATGAATGGAATAGAACCTATAGCTTCCATGGAATTCAATTCCGTAGCTATTTCATTTAACTTTGATTCATTACTCGGCTTTTTAAGTTCTTCAGATAATTCATCGGCATAGCCAAAACCCGGTATTTGTCCTAAACTAAATACTTCACATATGTGTTCAGTAATATAAATAAGTGAACTTAAATTACTCCTTGGGAGTGTGCTTAGCAATTTCGTAGTTTCATTTCTTCGGCTGTCTATAGCCTGTTTGTCTGATTCCAAAATATCATTCTTATAATTATTTAGTAATGAGTCAAACACCATACACGGTATCAACGAGTCACTTATTTCCAATAGCCAGTTTTTGAAAAAGCTAATCAAGCCACCACTAGGCAATGTACGCAAATACGAAACAACCTTTTCAGACATATCCTTATGGATTTCTAATTCTTTTGAAACATCAAGCTCCGATTCCGGCACGTAGACATTTACTCTATTAATAATCAGTTCTTTAATAGTCCAGTTACATTGATGATCTATTGGACTCAACCAGTATTGCCTGACCTCTTCATTATTTTCTTGTTCTTCAATTAAATTAACGATTTGATAAAGGAAAATGGGCAACGAGGATATGCTCAATAGATGATTAGAATTTTCTTCTGATTGCGTTAATTGAGGTTGTAACGGTATATCTTTATATAGATTGAATTGATACTTTAAATTTTGGAAATTCTTATTTGATTGAATGGCACCAAATTGAGGGTTCGCCAAAAGATTTGGAGAAATTGCCGAGGGAAAATAAATGCCAGTATTAAATTCTTCTAGCACTTTATCAAATTCATGGGCATAATTAGTTGCTGAGTTAATGTTTACAATATATTCCGATGCCAATTTATGTAATCCTGTGGTTGTTGTTAATGAAATGTTATATAAAATTTCATGTAATTTGGTTAAGCTTTTGAATACTAGTTCAATTTTCATTTTTTCAAACCTTTCCAACGCAGTTGACTTATTAATAACTTCTAGTTCAATTAAATGCTTCAAGTCTTGCAATTCCAAATAGCTTTCATTATACTTTGCTTCTAAGTCATTCAAGTGTTCGGAATAATTATTTTTTAAAATTGACGATTTGACTGTATTAAATAGACCATTAAATCTTTTTGAAGTATTTTGTGCCATGTCATTCATAAACTTACTAGTAGTATCATCAATAGTCAATTTTGGGATCTTCGTCGAGACGTGTTCATACTTTTCAGTATCAGATAGATCATAATCTGCAATTTGCACGGCAAGGTCAGACCATTCAAACCACATTCCCTCGCTCTTAAACTTTTTGGACCAAATCCCAGTGCCTACTATCAACTTTAAATCAAGTAAGGCTTGCCCGAGCTTTTCCATATTCAGACGACTAGGATTCAAACCATAAGGTCTCTGCTTTGATAACCAATCGCATAAATGGTCACTCTTGAAAATTTCATTTCTGTATCCCGGTAAAGGAATTTTTCTTCTTATTGTTGGAATGGATACTGTCATCTTTTGTAGTAGTGAAGTCAAATCTGATTGTTTCTTAACCTTTATAGTTCCAATAGGTAATGGAAATTCAAATCCAGAATCCTGTAAATTGTCATGTGGTGTTGAATCGGAGAATGACTCGTCTATATTCTCTGACGCAGAATTAGGAACACTTTTATCACTAGAAGCCGATATATCTTCATAAGTTTCATTGTCTTTTCCATTTTGTGGGTCAATTCTAGAAAACTCTTTTAGTCTCAAGTATTCGTCATATTCCACTTCAATTGCTTCTATCTCCTTAAACGTCGTATCATAGTCACTAAGAAGTTCGGCAAATTCTTGTAATGTTTCTTTTACTCGGGGTTCATGCTCCTTTATAAAATCTGTAATGCCTTCTAGTATTTCACGATCTATAACAGATGCCAAATTTATTAAAGTATGCGATTCATCTGATATATTCTTAACACAGAGTTCAAACGCATCAGACATACTTGTAGGAGGTGGTTTCTTCTTACCAGACTCATTTTCTTCCGTGCCATGTAATTCTTTACGATCAAGTGCTTTTACAGAATCCAAATGACGCTCTGCTTGTGATACTGTTCTCCTTTGGAAACTACCACTAACCTTTCTGATAGCCCGATTCTTTGATGGAAACTCCATTGATTCTTTCGGTACTACTGGTCTAAACCCACTTTCAAACGAAAATGCTTCTATCCCCAACTTATTCAAATATTCACTGTTAGAATGGAAATATTGCATGTAATTGAATATAAGTTTTCGTAATTCATGAAGCTGTTTTATAGATCTTAATGATTGTTGGGTCAATTTGTCAATTCCTGACTTATAGTCCGCAGACCAATACAAATTAGAAAACTTATTACTCATTATAATAGTCACAAGACTCCTTCTAGAGATTAGTTTAATGTAACGCTAAATTTCAAATATATAAATTTTAGTAAAATGCGAAGCATGGATTCCAGCGTGATTTCAACATAAACAACTAGATATAGTGACCTCATCAAGGCACTAAGAGCTGAAATGAGTACAGATCCCTTGCAAATAGAGATACAGGAGGTGAAAGGGGATATCCAGTCGTTACATCTGGAAATTGACGTACTTGACAAGGAATATTCGGCATTACTAGCACAAGCTAAAGATCTTGAAGAGTCACTGAGACAAGGTGATGAACCCTACAATTTGCAAGAAATACACGGCCATTCAAAGGCCAATTATGATATAGATGGACCACCAGTCATAAAAAGCAGTTGTTTTGATGAATCAATACGAAAATATTTTACGAATGTATTAGATGATGTGGAAGAAGAAAGTACAGAAGTAGTAACAAAGAGACAAAGACTAGACAATATTGCCAGTGAATTTAAGGCCAAATCAGAGACAATTCTTGAAATGAAACAGAATATTTTGTATGAAAATATATTCAGATTTGGAGGTGTTACATCTTTTCCATTAAATCCATTTTTGTTCGATGACAACGATGAAATTATAGGATTACGGTTTGATATTTTCTCTCATTATAAACGCAAATTTATCACACCACATTACGTTATACTACGAAAGATGAAGAATACAGAAAAAGGACTTGAAACAACTATGAAATGGGAAGTTTATAGACATACGTTGCCAGTATATTTACCAATATCTGAATACAGTGAATGCCTACACGAGGATGAAGAAGTAGCATTCTCAAAATTCACCCAGCAAATCAGAGAACACTTGATTCAAATTCAATATAAACATGATAAGTTTGATTTTCTCCGAAGTATTAAATATGACCATATCTCAAAAAATAGGTCGAGCCAAGGTAGAGTTGTTATAGAAAAACTTGAAAAAGATCTACAATGCCAGAGAATAAATATAACTTTACTGAGTCGCGTATCGAGCAGTAAAAAAGCATCAGAAATTAATCTTGTTTGTACCAATGACGAGATAAAGGAAGTAAGTTGTACTATAGAGGGGGTCGATTCAGATGACAAAATAATTATACAATGTGAAAGCCTACTAAAAAATTGTGATCTTAAAGATTTGATCAAGACTTTCAAGAAGGTTATAGACTGTTTGATAAAGAGCGATAAGCTTTAGAAGTATTTTCTGGTAAAGTGCTTAATTCAATTCTCATATTATAGATCTACGTAGTATTATAGATAATTTTAAAACATATATTTGAAACGTAAACCACATCAAAAATCAAACAACGGGAAAAAAATAAATTAAGATATACATATAAGAATAAAACACAATTTTTCTAAATGTAACGTTAACTGTAAATCTACATTTTTCGAGTGCAAAAAGCACTCTAAATAAATCTATTTTTAAAAAGCATTACCAAAGCCAGCTCCAGTTGGTTGATAGCCTAATCCTGTAATACTTTGATTCATAGCTGGACCGTTGGTGATCATCAAAGGTTGTCCCATACCAGGATTTTCTTCGTCTTGCTTTTCAGCTTCTCTCCTCTTCTGCAAATCATTGTATACTTCACCAAGTTTCTTTTGGTTCTCATAAGTAACAGAGATTTCATATGGTTTGATAAAGTTGCCTAAATCATGCAACCATGATAATTCAAGTACATAATCATACTCAATAGTATCGTAACAAGTATACAATAATGCAACAAAGCATTCACGATTACCTGTTTCGACAAAATAGTCTAATAATTCATGAGCAATCTTGGTTGATTTTGAAACTGCTGCTGTTTTAATCAAATCGGCCCACAACTTATCGTTCTTCAAGATAGAAATAGACTTGATAAATTTCTTATTCTTGGTATATAATGTTGCAGAAATTTGTCTGAAGAAAATAAGATCATGATTTTCTAATCTCTCAGCTAAATCCAACGAGTTGAATCTGTTATTAGATTCATTTTCGATAGTTGATCTCAAAGACTTATAATCTTCCTCTTCAATTAATAAATCATGATAAGCACCATTAACAACTGAGTTGTTCTTATCTAAGACAGATATCAAGAAAGGCTTGATTAATGGCAAATTGTCAGACTTAACGAACATTCTAACCACTCTTGGCAAATCAAGTTTAGGAGTCAATACTGATAATAAATCGACTAATAACGAAGGGTTTTCATTTATGTAAAAGTTAATTGCCTTGTAATAAATTTCCAAGTTTGATGCTTTAACAACAATTTCCTTGAACGAGGAATGATCAAATGCGACTTCTGACTTATCAATCATAGTCAATGCAGCATTGTCCCATTCTTCATAATGGCAGTACAAGAAAATCAATTCTGGATATAAGTGAGCTTCCTCACAAGCAGTCAAAACCTTAGGAATATTGATTCTGGACCAGAATAACTTCAAATGTTCCATAACCTTTTCAGGACTATATTTCGTGTATAAGATAGCCAATTCGGTGAACATACCCATATGAGCTCTTTCTAAGCCTAAACCACTTTCAAAGAGAGCGAATAATTCATTGAAATAACCATTCTTTTCGTAGAGTTTGACTAATTCAGGAAGTTCTTCAGCATCAATAATCAAATTCAAACCACAAATTTGAGCCAATCTGAATTCTTTATTATCAATACAAGCGTAGTTAACTTGCTTCCAAACACTTGTGTTAGATGCTTTTCTTGCACAGTCAACAGCACCTTGGTAATCCTTCAAATAAACTAAAGTGGTAGCTAATTTAGAATATTTGGAAACATTTGAATATAAAACTTTAGCCGCTTTATAGTTCTTAGCTTCAAACAACTTATCACCAATAGATTCCATATCGGCAACATTTGGTCCACTTACGAATTTCTCAATCTCGTTTAATTTGCCGGCATTAGCGTAACAGTTGATAAGAGCACCATCAATAGCACTTTCTCTTAAAGTTTCTCTGGCCATATCCAAGAATGGGATCAATTCCTCTTCTTTGCCCGCGTGTTCAGCAATTTCAATAACTTGTTCAAAATTGCCTGGGTTCTTAGACTTAACATAAGAGTCAATAGCTTCTGGAATACGTAAACCATTTAATTGAGCAGTACCCAATTGATACCACAATTCAGATACATCGTACTTTTCGGCATATTGTTCACCTCTGTCTAAAGACATGATATCATCTACCAATACCTTCATTGCGTCTGTTCTTAACTCGAATTTATCATAAACCTCGAATGCTTCTTCATATAATTGATTGTCAATACATAAAGGAGCAATTTCTTCAGGATCAAATTTATCCAATTTTTCGATGTAACCCAAAACACGCGAATTATCAGCTTTAATAGCAGTCAAAATTAACAAACCTTGTAAAGAAGTGTTATCATTGAAAGGAGATGTTTCCAAAATGATCTTTTCCAACAACTCGATTAATTCATGCGGTAAATCGTTTTCCATAAATGCTTTAACAGTAATCGAAATTGGTTCAGGATCATCCAATTCTGGAATACCTGTTGCAATAACTTGATCGACTAATTGTCTTCTATGAGTGTTTTCTTCTGTTAAGACCTTATTCCATAAATCGAAATCAGACTTGGCTAATAAATATCTTGCTTGATACTTATACATTTTATTTTCATTCGTAATATTAATTAACTCATCGTTATTGCCACCCTTGGAGTAACAAATGTATGCTAAGTATGGATCTCTCTTTTCACAATACTTACCAACAGCGAGAGTATCATAATTTGTGTTATCTTGCAAGAACTTTTCAGGATTATTGTTAGAATCAATGTAAATCTTAGCTAAAGTATTGAACACTTCTTGATCAGTAGAACCACCTTCTAATGTCTTTTCTAAGAAAGGCAATAATATCTTGAGCCTGTTTCTCTTCTCAACTTCAGCAACTAATTCCTTGATAGGAACGCGTCCCAATACAGATACTAATAAACCTTTGATAATATTTTCATCACAGTCTACATCTAATAAACCTGCAATTACTTGTGGCGTATTGGATGGGTTAACTTGTTGAACATAAACTTCAATGAATTTGAAGTACTTGTTCTTATACAAGAATAAGATCAAGTCGTGAACAAAATCAAATCTGTCACAAACAATAATCAAAGGCAATTGATCTTCCAACTTATATTCCTTCAAAAAGTTCTTAACTTTTTCACCATTATAAACATTGTTATCTCTGACGACTCTTTCAATTTCCTTAGTTTGATTCATTTTAGCAGCACATTGAATATATTTGAAAACAACATCAGGATCTTGAGTCAAATTGACAATAGAAGATAAATAGTAGTATGCACCCTCGTTACATTTATAATCTTCAAAAATTTTAATCAAAGTCAATGGCCCAATTAAATCGGAATACTTAGTAGCAACCTGAATAACAATCTGAAGATTTTGTTGAATATTGTTACTTAATAATTCTTTCAAACATGCAACGGATTGCTGAACATTTAATTGACCAAAATAAGCAACCAACCAATCATTTGGTAAGACATTAGTATGGACAATAACTCTCTTAATGTCTTTCAAATCATCATAATGTTCTAAAGCCCTTTGGAATAAACCAGATTTTTCACATAACTTACCAATTGTTGGCTTATCATAATGACTAAACATATTGTTACCTAAGATAGCATCTGCAACCTGTGGTGCATGTAACAAGTTAATTTCTAAAACCTTGGTTTGTAAATGTCCTTCAGCAGGAGAATCATTCTTCAAAGCATCTAATAAGAAAGCGGTACCTTGCTGAATATAGTTTTGCGAAAAGAATAAATCAGCAATATTTTCAATTTTCAAATTTGTGTCTGAAGAAGCCAATAATGATGTTGCGAATTCACTTGCTTTATCAGGATTAACTCTGACCAAATTTTGTATTAAATTTGTATAGTCAGGCTTGTAACCAACCTTTTCGCAATATGGAATAATCTTGTCAAATTGGCCTAATTCAGCTAAGCAAGAGACGACCTTAATATTAACATTTGCTCTAATGTAGACAGCTAATGCAAGACCCGCATCATTATAAGATTTAACAATATCACCCAATTCTTCTGAAGATGTCAACTTATCTTCTTTCAACCATTTTTCAAATAATGGTTTACGATCCTGTTGCAATACTGGCTTAGCTAACTCAATAGATTCGTACTTATTCAATGTACCTCTGTCCAATAACGTTGAAAAATATTGCAAAATTGGTGAAATTTGTCCAGGTTGAGGGGTAATATGCTTCAACTTATTGATAGTATCTTGAGTACGCAATTGCTCAGAAGATGCTGCAACCTTGGCCGCATTAGTATAATCACCTTGGTTTAAATAATTCTGGAATTGTTGAGTGAATAAGTTTTCAGCCCCTGGGAACCCACCACGAGAGGAGAGAGCTAAAGCCAATGGGACATTAGACAACTTTTCTAAAACATATGGAATAATTTTAGACTGGGAAATTTCGACGCTCAAAACCTGACCAGATTTGTTAATCGTTATAATACCGGTACCATCGTTATAAGGAGCTGCGGTGAAAACTGGATCTGCAGTGATTCTATTCACAAATAAATTGGAACCTGTTTCCATATCATATAAATGAATAAAACCATACTTCGTTAAAATGTACACAATACCGTATTTGTCAGAAGCTTGCAAACTAATTGGGAAATCATTAGCCGCATCTGGCGGGAAGAATATATCAACTGATTTTTTGGAGAAGTCTGGATTACCTTCTACGTGATCAATTTCAATAATATGTAAATTACCTTGACCTTGAGCGTTTTTGTTACCCACACAGAAGACTTTAGTAGGATGTAAAGCACCGTTTAACTTGACTTGTCCAAATTTACAAACATGACCCTCAATAGCTTGAGACACATTACGTGACTTGGAAAACAATTGGATGTGACCAGCTATACGCCCGTCTTCCTGGGCTATACCAGTCACCGCAAACCAGTTCAATTGCGGTTCAGCAACGAAGTTTATGATTTGGCAATTGTTTAATGTATGATGTCTATCGGCCAATTTAACTGGACCGTCATTACTGCCATCAAATATAGACCACGTATAGATACTATTAGCCGTGACAAGACCCAAGTTTTCGTTGTCTAACCATTTCCAGTAAACAACCGCTTGGTCCATGGTGAATGACTTCAATCTTTGTTTGGTACCCAAGTTGAAGATCTGTAACGTAGTACCATTGGCCCGCAAGGA